CAGTACCTCCGGAATTGGTTCCCTCCTGTGGGGGAATAGGACTCCATATATCAAATCCAATTTTATTATTTGGGGATATCAAAGTCCACTCTGTAAATAGGAGCAGGTGACGCCTTTACGGGCATTACTCCACCGTTGTCGGCATCGACAGTAATCTTTTTGGATTACATTATGTCTGTCGTGTTATTTCTCTAACACAAGTACCTCTAGATTAATTTCTCATATCAAGACAAACTAATGAACTATATGAACTCAGTGTCAAAAGTTTATTATCAATATCACTATCATCTCAAATAGAGCGTCTGTAAATGCCAAATATTTTTTCTCTGGGTACATCGATATATTTCCATGAAAAAATTATAAGGAGACGATTCTTTGCATTAGTATATATAGGTATGTATGCCATACATTATATAGCTGTACATTGCTCTGATCGAATTTGTCGTGAACTGGAAATGGAAAGGAAGTACCTTCAAAATACTATAATGTGCCAATAACATTGCATATTAGATTAAAAGAATGGTAAAATGTTTTGTTGAGTCATACAAAAGACTACCATTGAAACCGAGATTTTCCTCTGCATGAGTACTTGGAAACATTTAGACACACATAAAATCATCGAAACGAATTATCTGTAAAACGTTTACAAGGGCTAGGTTGACAAACTAGCGAAATATGTGAAAGTAAGAACATTAAGAGCTGAATAGATGGGCAAGTGATCCGGAACATCTTTATTAAAATGAAATGTTGTAGGGGGATAGCCGCGAACGCAGTCCCCCGCTATCCAAAATGCGCATGAGTTAACACTTTTGGGGGTAATGCAGGGGGTCAGCGCCAACGTATTGCAATGGTGAGCTCGCCCTGGGAGAAAGCCTTCGTGATCACGGTATCTTCCTGTGCCAGGTAAGTATGCTCTCCTAACCACAAGCAGACCCCGCTCGCTCACCTGCAGAACCACACGTGCTACACACAAGTTGATTGCAAGTAGCAACTGGCTTTTGTTTAATGGGGGGAATCTGTATGGATTTAGGTCCAAATTATATTATACTTTTACCTATTACGTTAATCCAAATCTGATTATTTGAAATTTATCCGCACACTTAATTTTACAACTTGGAAACCGTTTGTTAGCTCCTTGTTAATTACAAATTATTCTTGTTCTAAAATTATGTGTGGATTTAATTTCAAATACGTTAAATTCGGATTCTACGCAATTCCTAAAAATAAAATATAATTCACCAATTACTATTAATTAAAAAAGGAACATTTAATTTTTGATATTTATTGACCCTGCGACCGATATTTCAGTGGGTTACTCTTCCATATCAAGAATGTATAAATTGTAAAGAGCTTTATAAGGAACAGGTACATGTAATGTTCTTTTTAGAACTAACGTTTAGCATTATTTAAAACATACTTTTTAGCACCACTCAAATCCTCCGTTTGTTCACATGCCATACAAAATACACATATGATGCGTAGGCGTGTGTTCGCACACATATAAGACTAAAAATTGATGTTTCACAGAGCCCATGTCTATATTCAGTTAGAGAATTAATTACATTACAGCAATCACATGCAAACTTTAATCTTATTTAGAGGATAGTTAGTGATTGAGTTCTACATTCTCATTTAAAGAAAACGTATAAACTTCATTGGCGTACACTTAATTAAAGGCAACTGTCTCAATATATCACAATTTATACACAATGTATAACTCATATCATAAAGAATGTGATAGGATACTAAGGTGATTATTTATAGAGACATAAACGTTATCTTTCTGTATCGAAAATGCTAACAAGAGGTCACTTATGACGTTTTGCAAGTAAATGCCTTGACCAGTAAGTCCTCAGAAACATTATCTGGGACATAGTTTCACCTGTTTTTCGGTATCGCTTCTCGGCTTTGGCTATCACCTCGTGTTTGAACTCTTGACGAGACAACACCTTTCTAACGCAGTAGCAACAAATACAAAGTCTTGTGCCACTTGAGCTACCCTGGAGCCCGGGGCCTCTTGTCTCGCTTGACATTGTTGTTCCTGAGTTATTTAAAGTAATCGAAGTAAAGTAAATCCTGTATTTACAGAAAGAGAACTTTGCCAGCACCTTCAGTGCTCTTGCTTTTGCAGGTGGCACGAAGGGCAGTAGGCCTAGCCAGCACCCCACCTCAGACCCGCAGCTCTCTTCTACACCAGGGTAGCCCTTGTGGCTTTGACCCCTGGGTAGGGAGGCCCAGTAGTCTGGGGCGTCATTTGGGCGCACTTTTTCTTATTTTCTAATTCTTTTCCTCATAATGTGACTTCCCTGAGCCTACCGGAGTACCCTTGTGGGCTCCCGTATTCCGCTTGGGGGGTGGGCACTGAATTACCGTCAGCTTCGCCTAGGCAAGTTCGCGGTAAGGAGGTGTCCCACATCTAACTCGATCCCTCTGTGGTACTGGAGAAACGCAACAGGCTTCACTGGGGGGGTAGAGGGACGTTTAACTGCCTTACTCTCTTAGCTATTGCTGTTCGTTTGATAACAAAAGTTAAGAGTTTTTTGATCCCTTCATGACAACATTTGTGAGACAAGGGGTCGGACCTGGTCCGATACCCAGAATTAGTGATACCCCGCTTACCCTTCTCCTCTCAAGAGGGGGGACGACCTAACGACTTTCCTATGACTAATCGACCGATGCAACAATGGTAAACCCCCCCACTAACGACAAAACGAGACGACACTCTTTAGATCCCCCACCCAGAATGCAAGGTTCGCGAATGTAAGTGCGTGAATGAAAATCCGTCACTACTGAACGTTAACCCTTTATCATCAAAAAGGTCCTTGATTGTCAATGGACGGGCGACTTTGATTTTTTGTCAAAAAATTGCAGATGGAAGCCTCCTTGTTAAAGTACAATACAACTCACCAGATTAAGGATACTTAGCTGACGCAAATTCATGTATCTTCGAGTAAAGTAACTATTCCCATTGGCCCAAATACCTGTAAGGGAGTATCTTTCACAGGGATTTTGAGGAACGATGGAAGAAAGTGAAATTTCTCGAGAGCATGAGGAACCAAGACTTAGTGGACGTTCATTTATGACCAAGAAACGGGAATATGCGAACGAAAACTGGACTGTGTTTTTTGACCTTTGCCTTGAACTAAATCCTGGAATATGTCAATGTCGGTTATGGAGCGTGTTCAAGTACGACCTTGTCCAAAAGCAATGCATTGTTACAGATGCCAAAAAATTCGACCCCTCATTTAGATGTATTGAAAAAGACTCTATAATTCACTTGCCGTAATGTGCTGAAGCCCATGACACCATCACTTGTACTAGCCAGATTTCCAATGTGCTAACTGTGGAGGGTCCCCATCATCAGGATCTGCCGAGTGCAGCATCCTGAGAAGGAACTGAGACATTGGCATATATAGAAACATGAAGTTAGTTTATACTGAGGCTAAGATTAAGTTGAAAGTTTTTGACCACACAAACTGATACTTCCTATGCTGCAAGCACTAACAACACCCCTAGCACAAGTGATGCAGTCAACAGCTTGCAGCTAAAGATAAGGAGAAATTGCGAACTCAAAACAAACTGTCAAAGAATTGAACATTAAAGTATACACTGACTAAATTGGTCGATCAATGGCTGCTCAACCACATAAACATCAAAAGGATGATAACGATCACAGTCCGGAGCGCACCTTCCCGTCCGGGCTACTCCTGTGAGACTTTCGTCTGGCTCGCGATCGGCTTCCCGATAGAGAAGCAGATCGCAATCTGTCTTCGTCTCCTCGCCATGAGGGGCAGGAACATGGAGGCTTTCTGTCTCCAAACCATCCGTGAGAGGTCCCCTAGAAGCGGGAGAGGCGCCTCCCTCCCAAAAAAAGAAAATTCGAACTGGTGGACAAGGCACTTCCAAACCCATAAAAAGTAATCTTCCGCGTCAACCATTATACCATGGAAACCTGTCCCGAAGATTAGATCTAAAGTAAATGACCTTAAATTATTAGCCTCGTCCTATGCTCCCGATATTATAGTCCTCCAAGAAACACAGTTAACGCAATTCGTCTCTGACGAGGTTGTTTCGCTGAGGAACTACCATCTGTGTCGGAAGGACCGTGAGGGTAGGGGTGGAGGCGGAGTCGCCATGTACATCCACCAAAACCTCCCTTTTACGAAGTGACTTTTAATTCTACTTTGGAGTTTGTCGCATGCAAAGTAAAAATTAATGGCACGTATCTGGCTATATGTTCAGTTTATTGTTCCACCTGATACAGTGATAATCTATGATGAGCTTTTTGCTCTTCAGGAAACGTCTGCCCACAAAATAAAGTAATTTTAGGTGATTTTAATGCTCATCATACGTTATGGGGTTCCCTGCGGGTGGATGGTAGAGGTGAGCAAGTAGTTAAGCTGAGTAATGAGTCTGATTTAGTCCTTCTGAACGATGGTAGTCCCACGCGGGTGGACGATAATACCGGTAATTTGAGCTTTATTGACCTATCACTGGTCTCTTCATCAAGTAGCAGCTAAGTGCCTGTGGCACACCATTGACGACTCGTTGGGAAGCGATCACCTTCCTATTTTGATTAAATATTCATGCGACACAGGGAGAACGCCTTCAGCGCCTAAATTTAACGTAAAAGAAGCAGACTGGGTCGCCTTCACAAGGAGCGTCAAGCTCGAACTAGTTGGAGAAACCATTGATGATAAAGTAAACAATATTCAGAATTCGATTATAGAAGCAGCTTTGCTATCCATTCCTAAAACTTCGACAGATAGCGTTAAGCATAGAGTTCCATGGTGGACACCAGATTGCCGCAGGGCGCTGTGCCGACGCAATAAGGCCTACAGGCTTTTCAAAAAATAACACTCACAAACGAGAAACTTTTGCAATTACAAACAAGCAAGAGCTAGGGCTCGTAGAGTAATTAGACAAGCTAAAAGAGACTCCTGGCGGAGCTTTGTCTCTACAATAAACAGCAACACAAAAACATCAGAGGTTTGGTCCACAATCAATAAAATAAATAAGAAAAAATCATCTTTCAAAATTAACAACATCATTTATGAGGGTAACAATTTAGATTCACATAGAGACATTGCTAATGCACTCGCCAGGCAGTTCTCTCATACAAGCAGTTCAGCAAACTATCATCCCGCCTTCCTGCCCATTAAGGAAGCGGCTGAACTGCAACCAATTCACTTTGCCACAGGAGATGACTTTGATTACAATAAAGATCTTACAATAGATGAGCTTGTCCGAGCCCTAGAAGCCTGTAGAGGAACATCCCCAGGCCCCGATGAGATTCGATATGAGATGATAAAGCATCTTAATCATGGTGACATGATTAAGTTGCTAGAAGTGTACAATGAAATTTGGAAAAGCCACACTTTCCAAACTCATGGCACTTCGCCCACACCATTCCCATATTGAAAGGAGGGGGTAATCCCAAACTTGCCATCTCCTACCGCCCAATTGCGTTGACAAGTTGCTTATGCAAGGTCATGGAACGAATTGTTAACAGTAGGCTATTGCATTTTTTTTTAAATTCCAGTAATTTACTAGTTGACGAGCAGTGCGGCTTCCGAAAGGACGCCAAACTCTCGATCAGCTAGTAAAGCTGGACAGTCATATTCAAGAGGCAATTGCAAAAAGATTTTTTGATTTCAGTATTCTTAGATATAGAAAAAGCTACGACATGACATGGCGATATGGCCTACTCAGAAAACTTTATGCTTTTGGATTACGTGGAAACTTGCCTTGTTTTATTCAAAATTCATTTCTGACAGAACGTTGCTGTCAAATTATTTCGGACACGTCACTTTTTCGGACATATTTGTCCAGGCAAACGGGGTCCCACAAGGAAGTGTCTTGTCACCAACATTATTTCTATGTATGATAAATGACATCTACCAGCTCCTCC